GAGATTAAATCCAGTAACGAGGAGGAGGATTTACTGAAATAAAAAAACAGCATACTTACTAAACAGCTAACCTATCTATAGTGGCTAAGAATACGAAATTTACATTACTGGTGGTGCATCTACGATTCAGTCACCCTAACTTAGCAAATGACGTAATATCGGATCCATTAATATCGATGCATCTACGATTCAGTCACCCTAACTTAACAAATGACGTAATATCGGACCCATTACTGGTGGTTCATCTACGATTCAGTTACCCTAACTTAACAAATGACGTATTATCGGATCCATTACTATCGATGCATTTACGATCCAGTTACCCTAACTTAACAAATGACGTATTATCGGATTCATTACTGGTGGTTCATCTACGATTCAGTCACCCTATTCTAAACAAACGAGATGGTATCAGACCAATTCTCAGTATGACCGTAATATAAGAACTAGCCTTATTATTTTATCATTTTCCTGTCTAGTACACACGTGTAATCACGTGGACCATAACATTCGCAACACTTTTCCAAAAGGAAAAAAATATTCCCGCTAAAATAGTAAACAATGGCCATTGCCTTAATGTAAACATGGAATACAAGAATAGTAAAGGAAGAAGAAAATGAACATTTATACGTTCAAGCGTATCGACAAAGTTCTATATTTTTTTAAAAGTTGTTTTTGAGATTAGAAGCAGGAAAACCCCAGCTCAGAAAGTATAGAATCCGGTTCTTCAGCTCCATGCTTGTTACATATCAATTACAAACAGAAAATAAAACATATCAGTATCCTTACTTATTAATACATACTGCTGAACTACAAAAATAAACCTCAATTAAATAAAATTATATCATTGACATTTTTCTCACGCACTAAACAATTACAAATAGGAAACCCAATCTGCAGTCGACTTATCAAGTCGTCCCCCACGGTGGGTCAGGGGTAAGCTTATGGACTTACAATGCTAAAATCCGGGGCTCGATTCCCCGCGATAGACACATCAGATAGCCCAATGTGGCTTTGCGCTAAAAAAACACACACCACATACCAAGTAAACATATATAACTGAATTACAGAAATAAAAATTCCGAGATAAGAGTCCCAGAATGTAACTAACAAGGCCATGCTATAAAATACACTGCATGACGAAGAGGCTAAAATTGATTAAGAATTGTATTAAGTTTAATCTGAACATAAATAAGACATATTTTCGAATGACATAAAACGAAACATTTATGGAGCTTCCTTGCAATACATTTTCAGACATGTGGGAACTAAACAACAAAATAGAAGCGTTGAATGACTTGAAACAGCGAAAATCAGAGAAATGACTGTCCTATAGAATCAGTGTTTCGATATGCATTTAGGCAATTACAAGGCGAAATTTTATCTTTTAGTACGTAATTCCCTTTACTGTCATCGCAATGAGATTTTAAAGTTTATGCCCTTTACAAGTTGTCGAAGCATGATTGTAATTAATTATGCTTGTCATAATACACTATTATTAGATCTATTTCTAAACATTACATTATTTATGTAATCCTATAAAGATTATGAAGAATTAGAAGAATACATAATAATAGTATTTCAACCACACTATGTTCACCATACCCATTGACCACGACGCGTTTCGCTCAATCCAGAGCTCTTTAGGCCTGCTGGGATACAGCAAACACAGTAGCGGTCGGAACACTATTTACATACAAGCTATTTGTTACAACAATTTTTATGGTGTGAACACCTTTTTTTTTTTAACCTGGTGAAGTATGATTATAATTAATCTTACTTGCCACAAGAGGTTATTCTTATGCCTATTATATTTTTAAACATTACATTCTTTACTTAGACCCATGGGGAGTTTCAAGAATTGGAAGAGATCTAGATTAAGCGAAACGCGTCGCCGGCAACGGATATAGCAAATACAATGTGGTTTGGATACCATGATTAGACACTCTTCTAATGCTTGAAAATCTCTAATGGACTAGATAAAAATGTAGTGTTTAAAAATATAATAGGCCTAATAATAACGTTTTATGTCTTATCCCTTAATAAAATAAATAAGTAAACTAGCCCATTTAGTATTAAGCCTCCAGCCCGTGCACAGGTGATTTAAAGGAAATGTTGAGCGTTGATTTTCCTTCTGTCGAATGTCAATTATACTTCTATATCATGTTTTAATTGAAAAAGCATCGAGTGACTAAAAAAGAAACAAAAGAGGAAAGTCCCAACGAAAAACAAACTCTGAATTATTAATAGATAACGAATTATTGTCGCGTCTTTATGCGTGGAGGAAAGCTGATAAATTGAATCGAAAAAACTAAAGTATCATAAAAGACAGAAAATCATTAAAATGTGCGAAAATTCTTAAAGAAAAGAAAATAAGAGAATCGGAAATGTCATTCATAAAAATATCATTGTACCTTATGTTTAGAGATATTCATGATTTTTATTGTATTCCATCAAGTCTTTTCTAGTTTCACATATATAGACAAAACTTGAATCGATTATATAAGTATGCTTCCAAAATATTGGAATAAATCAGAACGATTACTGTGAAAAATGATTCCTCGAAAACGCGAAATTTATTATTTAAATAGTTTACCCTGTACATGTATACGTATATTTACCCTGGTGGTATCGTGTTGAGGGAAGCTGCCATCATCTGAAAGTCACTATATATATATATCGACGTTGAGTGACGGTGGATAAGTAAGTTTGTTTGTTTTGAATTTCGCGCAAAGCTACACGAGGGCTATCTGCGCTAGCCGTCCCTAATTTAGCAGTGTAAGACTAGAAGGAAGGCAGCTAGTCGTCACCACCCACCGCCAACTCTTGGGCTACTCTTTTACCAACGAATAGTGTGATTGACCGTCACATTATAACGCTCCCACGGCTGAAAGGGCGACTATGTTTGGTGGGAGGGGGATTCGAACCCGCGACTCTCAGATTGCGAGCCGAGCCCCCTAACCACCTGGCCATGCCGGGCCTGGATAGCCTCTTGAGAATAAACAAGACACAAGTTGTCAAAATCAGTCCAGTATTAGTTCTTGGCTTTGTATTCTGTACAAATATTAAAATTTTGAATTCCACGGCACATAATTAAACAAGTTAAAAAAATCATATTATTTTCATCTTTAATATTGTGGTTACACTATATATACACTGTTCCGTCAATTAGAACGCAAATACGTCAAACTGTTTACTTTTAGATTACGTATATTGGGTAGTCGCAGACAGTAGGGGGGATGCTGTTTGACTGTCTGTTTTAGAGGAGAACCATTTAAAACTATCTGCTGTGTACACCGTGGGGAAGCGAACTCCGGATTATGGCGTTGTAAGTCCATAAAATCACCCCATGAGTCCCACCGGGGGATCGATGGGGAAAAAAGGTACATATGTTTAATAATGTTAAGGCGAGAACTTAAACAATAAGGTTACAAATTTGAAATTCTAATAAAAGGTATATACATTTAAATTATTTTTTCATACCACTATCATGGCCTATCACACTTCCTGATTGAACTGAACAAAGAAAATTCAATGTACATCATATAGTTACACTGGACTATTATAAACAAATCACAAAATATTTAATAAATGAAGCAGATTATAGAGCTGAGCCAACTATTTAGAAATTGTATTTTTTGGTATCAACACGAATAGTGTGATTGACCGTCACATTATAACGCTCCCACGGCTGAAAGGGCGACTATGTTTGGTGGGACGGGGATGTTACACGTGGAACACACTTAACTGGCTTTATGTTTGTAGTTAAGCACAAAGCTACACAATGGGCTATCTGTGCTGTACCCAACACATGAATCGAAACCCGGTTTCTGGCGTCATAAGCCTTCAGACTTACCGCTGAGCTGCGGGGGTGGGGGTGAGATTTAACTAACAAACCAGGACATGATTATTAATATCATACAGGCAAACATATTATTGCCAGAAAGCAAGCATTTGTAAAATATTCTCTGTAATATTCTATCAGGTTCTATGTATATTTGTATTTTACTAGTTTTATTTATTTTCCTGGAATGGAAAAACAGCTTACATAAAACTCATACCGCTAATAACTGATATCACCAAGGAGCGAGATTTAGTAACTGCTTCTTGTGTTCCGGTCCATGTCGTCATCATCTCACGGATCGAGAAAGAGATGCTTCCTGTGTTCCGATCCATGTCGTCAGCATCTCAGGGAGTGAAAAGGGATGTTTCCTGTGTCCCCTATCCAAGTCGTCAACTCTTACAGAAGGAGAAGGTGATGCTTCCTGTGTTCCGATCCATGACGTCAGCATCTCACGGAGTGAAAAAGGGATGTTACCTGTGTCCCCTATTCAAGTCGTCAACTGTAACAGAAGGAGAAGGTGATGCTTTCTGTGTTCCGATCCATGTCGTCAACTCTTACAGAAGGAGCTTTGTTGATGCTTCCTGTGTTCCGATCCATGTCGTCAGTATCTCGCAGACTGAGGAGGGGGCGAATAAAGTCGTTCGGCGACCAGACAGTAACGGTCCGAGAAGAAAGCTACCTGTAGTTTAATCCTTTACGTATCATACTTTCACCTTAGGCAAGCCAGGTCGTTCGGAAAATCAAGTAATAACTTGCGAGGCTTAACTGACTTAATTAATTCCTTTTCCTATGGTTGAATCCCTATGGGCAAATGAAATCGTCTGACAACTAGGAATTAAAATCCTCTGGGGGAATCGGACAGAAACTCATTTGGTTCCATAACTGTTATTGTCTCTCTCTACCTCCAGATGCCCACCAGTGGCTCAGTGGTGAGTCTGAAGACTTATAACGCTAAGAACCGGGTTCCGATACCCGTAGTAGGCACAATACAGATAACCCATTGCGTATCTTAAGAAACAAACAAGCTATTTCCAGGCTTAAACATACTTTTTTCAATTTATCATTAATAGCTCATTATAATGGTAAAATGAGCTTATCAGTTGACTTAAACTATATTGTTTATTAGAACATCTGAGAATATTTCAAAATAAGAATACTATAATAATACAGAAGGGCATTCGAATTTCTGTAATTTAACATGATCATGATCTAACCTATCTTCGCAATTCTCATAAAGTGTAACATGATCATGATCTAACTTATCTTTACAACTCCCATAATGAGTAACATGGTCATCATCTAATCTGTCTTCACAACTCCCGTAATGAGTAACATGGTCATGGTCTAATCTGTCTTCACAACTCCCGTAATGAGTAACATGGTCATCATCTAATCTGTCTTCACAACTCTCGTAATGAGTAACATGGTCATCATCCAATCTGTCTTCACAACTCCCATAAAGTGTAACATGATCATGACCTAACTTATCTTCACAACTCCCATAAAGTGTAACATGATCATGAGCTAACTTATCTTCACAACTCCCATAATGAGTAATATGGTCATGGTCTAATCTATCTTCACAACTCCCATAATGAGTAACATGGTCATGGTCTAATCTGTCTTCACAACTCCCGTAATGAGTAACATGGTCATGGTCTAATCTGTCTTCACAACTCCCGTAATGAGTAACATGGTCATCATCTAATCTGTCTTCACAACTCTCGTAATGAGTAACATGGTCATCATCCAATCTGTCTTCACAACTCCCGTAATGAGTAACATGGTCATGGTCTAATCTGTCTTCACAACTCTCATAATGAGTAACATGGTCATCATCCAATCTGTCTTCACACTCTCGTAATGAGTAACATGGTCATGGTCTAATCTGTCTTCACAACTCCGTAATGAGTAACATGGTCATGGTCTAATCTGTCTTCACTAACTCCCATAA